ATCTACCTAAAAGATAAATATGAATGATCGGCACTTGTGTGTTGGCTAAAATTTAATAAATAATTAAAATCAACGTTTCATATTTACACAATTTTAAAAACATAATTGAAACCGGTCAACGGTTTCCACTTTAAAAATACGCTCTACGTGTACAATGTTTCGTTGTCTTGTACGTCGTTTTCAGGAATTATCCGAAAGACAACCTCATTTATACATTTTTCCCCATGTCGTAATATAACAGTGCAATGTTATTAACCTAATCCTTTGGTCAACCTTTATATTACAACATGCCAAATATCAATGCATTAACTTGATGACCCTTCATCTCTGTTCAATACTTCTATTTGTTTTTTGTTGTTTTTTCATTTTAATATTTCTAGTGATTCTTTGACATTTAAATCTGTAATATCACGAGGTTGAGCTAAACTTCTAGTTTTTCCTATTAGATTCTGTGTTGTGTTAGTTAAAAATACTACGTTAAGATCTATTTATGAAAACAACCAAAAAAGAAACTTTAAGTTTACCTTATATTCCAGGATTAACAGATCAATTATTTAAAGCTTTACGAAGGATAAAATTGAATTAGGAGATAAAACTGGGATTTACAATATAGAATGTGAATATGGGAGTATTTATATTGAATCAAACTAAAAGGAATTTCAAATACAGATCACACGAAATAAAGGTTACATAATCCAGTACTAGTAGAAAACTTAGCTATACCAGAATACGTTAAAACAACACAATATTTTATGTGAAAATACTACAATTTTAGCTCAATCTCGTAACATTACAGCTTTAAATGTCAAAGAATCACAAAAAATAATAATTTTTTAAAACAAAAAGAAGTGTTAAACAGAGATGACGGGCCATCAAGTCAATACATTGATATTTGATGTGTTGTAATAATACATGGCAGGAAAAATATGTATGAATTAGTGAAATAACTCGTGAAGACGACATTGAAACAATATACAAGTAGTGTGCTTTTAAAGTGACGGCTTCAATAAAGATTTTAAAGTTGTGTAAATATGAAACACTGATTTTAATTATTTATTAAATTTTATCTAAAGTATTTTGAAGGTGTAATAGCTAATCTTGAATAATTAATTTTGATATATAGATTCATTCATATATATTCTAGTAAAGTGATGATAAAAGTAATTGTAAAAAATTTGATAACTGGGTAAATTGCGGTCAACAGAAAGTAAATATTCGAAGCAGGAAATACATGCGCATGAAGTTCGTAACATTTAAAGAAACGATATCAGAGTGCGAGAATAAGTAAAGGAAGTTCTGCTGTAACTGTGTAGCATATATGTGGTTAGAGCACATACTTATTACAGTCCCAAACCTTCCTGTGAAGTAAACAAGAAAGGAAATGCAAACCAATTAAATAACTCCTTTTTCTTTCAATGTTCGTAGTATTGGACGTCATTATTAACCAGACAGAGCACTTTGAGCAGTTAGTAATTACAAGAAAAAATGTGACTGCATTTCACAACTTTGGGAACTACAATATACAGGATATATGTGGAAGATTGCTTAAGTTTTTAGACCTACCGCCTGATATAAATACAGTTCATGTTATCTAATAAAGAACATTTGTCCAGAATGGGTACCAGTAACAAACCGAGCTGTATTTTAATACATCTAGTTTTCTTGATCATTTTATACGTAGGTAAGTTTGGATAAATTAATGATTGAAGTTTCCCACATTTTCTGTACTGATTGAAAAGTAAAAGTAAAAACTAATCTGATGTTCTTTCAGATACTTGTAGTGGCCAACATACGAATGAAACGCGGTGGATCAAAAACATCTACTCGAACTGTTCTGATGATGTTTATCAAGGATTATTGGAAAAAGTCTCGACCTGTATTAAAGATGTCGCTCCGAACATGCAAACATTTCTGGATAACTTAAAAATCGATATTGCTTACAAAGATTACGCAAAAATATGCCAGTAAGTTGTGTTCTTTTTTAAGTTAAAAATATAGTAGCAGTAATTATTATGGTAGGCCTAGAAAATAAAAGTACATATAGTCTTATCATTTCACTGTATATATATTCTATAGTTGTTAGCGCCATGTCATTACATTTATTTCAGTTGAAGAATAGATCATCTTTTTCAGAATACTTGTATCATTTAATATTATAAGCTCGTCCCTTATCTTTAACAAAATTGATAAAAAAAATAAATTTATAAAAATATACATATAATTAATCCTTAATTGATAATGCCAGTTTGGATTCTCACACAGAAGCACAATCTTTCAGATATTTTGGATTATCTCTAATAGCTAAAAGATTAAAAAAATGTCCAAGTTACATTATAAAAATGTCTATAAATCCCTGCTTATTACACATAGGTAAAGGACTGTATAAATATGAATCATCACATAAAATTAGAGTCTATGAATATTCCTTATTGTAATATAAAAATAGATAATTCCCTAAAATTTTCATCAAATTCCAGGTAAAGCTAAAGATTTACAAAATCCCTATATCTCAGAGAATTAAAATATTCCCTAAATTTAAGTAATTACTTTTAAGTAAAGGACGGTAAATATCTCGGATTCAAAACTGAATTAAATAATTTTAAAAATTCTTACATAGGTTAAGTATTAAGAAAAGTCTCGATTCATCACATAGATATAAACTAATGCCTTTAGTCCTAGATCAGTATATACTTAGATAAAGAATTGCCCATTTTCCAAGTATTCGCAAATTCCTAATAGATTACAGAATTTTAAAACTGACTAATTAGCCATCTGAGATCAACATAATTTTACCTTTTGTAATTGCACAACAATTTATTAAAAAGAGAAAAAGCGATCATGTGATAAAGATAGTAGTGATTTTTACTGAAAGCACACAAGTGAGTCAGTTGTGGTAGTGATATCTAAAGGAGAGAGTAGAGTAGCATGAAAGTATGAAAAACAAAATCTGCTTTAGATCATACGTTGGGCTATCTGCGCTGTGCCAACCACAGGGATTCTTGAATTTTAGCATAATACCACTGAAGCACCGGGGGGCATAAATTAATAAAAACAATATAGAATTTCTTACATAATTCAAGTTCCTGTGAAACTGTCACATTATTTTTATCACATATAGAATTTCACTTTAAGAAATTTATTATTATACAATTAGTACAGGAAAAATATGTATGAATTAGTAGAAATAACTCCTGAAGACGACATTAGAAACAATATACA